CTATGTTTACTTCTCCAAGGGTTATTGCATTTGAATATTGTCAATCTTAAGTTGTCTAATTGTTTAATAGTTTACTAATAAAGTTTGAAGCAATGTGAAATTGAATATGATTTTAACAATGATAGGTTTGTTTTGTTTTTGGTCTAGATGTCAAGTGGGATATAAACCATTAACATACACCATGGTGGCTCCTTTTTGAACATACCACCATTGATTTATACTGGTGGTGACGTGTTTGTGAAGCACAATGTTGATGGCGATCTTTTATCACTCATTGAGATTCAAGTGTTGGTGAATTAGCAATTGAACAACTAGCAATTGAAGCATAAAATCTGATTATGGCTTTAGTCTATATAAGCTTAGTTTGGTGTGATGGGTCTTCTTTGAAACAATTAGCAATTGAACAACAATACATGAAATTGTTATCATCTAGCCTTCAATAGAGGCATTTACAAATAGGTACAACCTCCCTTGCTTCCCACATCTCCTTGATTGGTTTGGCATGCCAAGTCTGAAATCCACTTTTGTTTAATTTAAACTTAACACTCCATTTCCATCCCTTGACTATTGAAAGCTTAACACGTGAATTTACTATGTGTTTGGTTTCGTTTATGTTTATTGGAAAAACATTTATCTAATAAACACTCACTTTAAACGTTTTTTATTTTGTTGTTTGGTTAGGTTTATTTCGGGTGTTTCAAGAAACGCCCCTTTACAGCTCAACACAATAAACGTTTTTCCACCATGCTATTTAGTGGCACGTTTCAAGAAACAACTATATGGATGTTTCAATGTGACACTTTCATTTTGGTGTATAGGATCCATTAGTCAATCCAACGGTCCAAATTACAGGTGCTTGTATTTAAAGACCAATTTTTAAATCCAATGGTGAAAATATGATATAATCCACATCCAATGATGGATATATGACACTTTCGCTTTGACTCTCTCTCCCCCCCTTTCTCTTCCTTCATCTCTCTCTCAAGAAACCCTTAACAAATGGAACCGAACTTGCTGAAGAAGAACGAGGTCCACTGCTCCTTCGGTATCACTCCTCCGGTCATGGTTGGGGTTTCCTCTGGTGTCCACTGTTATTTGCGGGCGGCAAACACTGACTCATGGTTAGAACTTAGGGTTTCATTGGATAGAGAAACAAAAAGAAAACAGATAATGGGATGGTAGATTTGGGATGCATCGGATCAAAACCTCATTGTGCCATGTCATATGACATGTAACCACCATGTCACCTGTGCGTTTCATGAAACGCATAGCCATTGGGGGAAGGGAGAATTTCTTGCTTCTCCCAATGGCTAATTTCACGAAAGCTGATGAAAATAAATGAAAAAACGTTTTTTAGTGTTTTTTTTATTAAACACTACCACCAAACAGTAGTTTCAGCGGCAATAAACRTTTATTGTGCCAAAAGCTAAGGTGGCGCTGAGGTGGCAACATTTATCTGATAAACATCAACGGAACCAAACACCCTCTTAATTGTGAAATCCATTTTTGTTTGCATAAATGGTAGAAAGAAATAAGTTAACTTAAACTTATAAGTTCATCCACTGATCATAGAATATAAGTGAACTTAAACTTAGGTGGCGTTTGATAAATCTAAAAATTTATATCTAAAAAGTTAAAAAGATATTAAAAGTGTCTGAAATCTGAAAAGAGGCATAAATGCTTTTCTACTTTTTCGAGGATCTAAATCGATAAGTTTGTTTGTGTTAGATCAACTCTTTACCATATAAAATTTACTGATTTTACTATTTTACCCCTAGAACATACTATTTGGAATGTTGAATTCAATTTGCATTATCTCATAAAAATAATTTTCAACCTCAAAATAATATTGAAACAATACAAATAAAAAATAATAAATTATTAATTATTAATTAATAAATGAAATGATTAAAATTTTAAAAAATAACTAATGACTATAAAAATATTAAAATAGTTAATAATTTACATAAATAAAAATTAAAATAATTTTTAAAATTTAATGAAACAATTAAAAATGACTAGTAATAAAAATAATCAATAATTAATAAATAACATAAGTAAATTTAATAAAAAATAATTAATATTTAATGAAAATATTAAAATAATTAATAATTAATAAAAACATTATAATTAATAATTAAATAAAAATATTATTTTTACTCACCGAACCACCACTGCTGGATGTTGTAGTGACGGTGGCGGTGGTGGGAAGATAGGGGAGGGAGAGAGATAGATAGATATATATATATATATATATATATATAGAGAGAGAGAGAGAGAGAGAGAGAGAGAGAGAGAGAGAGAGAGAGAGAGAGAGGTCGAATGGAGAGGGGTAGTTTTGATTTTTGGCCACGTCTGAAACGCGTCTGAATGCGTTAAGTGACAGGCCTGAATCTAAAAATTTTAGATCTGAAAAAAGTTTATAGACCCTATTTCAGATGCAACATCAAACAAAGGTGGCGTCTAAAAAGCAGCATTTTCAGATTGAGACGTTTGAAAAATGCAATCAAACGCCACCTTAAACTCCTATTCAAAAAAAACCCTACTACCAATTTAAGTTAACTTAAACTCATATCCATATACTCCAAACAAATAGAATTGAAAACTCATATAGGAATAGAACTTGAATAAAAATTCGAGCCTGACCATAAGTTAACTTAAACAATATGGTCCCAACATCTTAGGCAACAAAAGTTCACATGGTTAACATTCTCGACAAAGTTTTGACTCGATTGTCAAGCTCGGCAACAAACTTCTCAATCTCCCTCATATGAAATGATTGGCCATCTCCAATGATCACAAGTGAAGTAACATTATCTTGGTGGTTGATTGGAATGACCCATTCGAAGAAATCACATGGTTTAACATTCGGTTGTTTATCTTTTTTTTATTAATAAATTATGAACACTGATCATGGTGCCAATAATAAAGAATGGTAAAACTTACAACTTTGCGAAGACAAGTATAAAATAATTTCTATGGATTGGAGGTGGTCTTAGACACCCTTATCACACACTTCTTACCACAGTTAGGGGTGAGCAAAAAAAAAAAAAAAAACGAAAAACTGAACTGACCAAAATCGTACCAAAAAATTGGTTATCTGAATTGGTCGGTTTGGTAATTTTAAAAAACTGAAGGTACCGGTTCGGTTTCGGTTAACCAATTTAAAAAAACCAACGGTTAACCGAATCGACCGGTATACATGTTTTTCTATATATTTTTTATATATTTATGTATATTATATTTATGTTATATACATTATACGTAATTTATATATTATAAATTAATAAATACGCATTATATATAAATATATATATATATATATATTTATAATATATTATGTATTATGTATTATTTATTATTTAAAATATATTAATTTATATATATTTATATACATTTTTATAATAAATATTGTAAAGTAAAAAAAACCGAAAAATTGACGAACCGAACTGTCAGTTAACTGAACCGATCAATCAGTTAACTGATTGGTTTTGGTTCAGTTTTGATTACTGATTTTCCAAAAACTGGTACTACCAGTTTAGTCCACAAAAAAGGCCCACGGTTCGGTTACTCGAACCGTGAGCACCCCTACCCACAATCACAAACTCTTGTCTCAAACCTAAGATCACTCGGTGACTGGAGTGTAAACTTTGAATGCTCACTCATTGTTGCATTAAAAATAGGTTAAAATTACAAACATCCACTAATTAAATTCTGTTTAGCAAAATGAACTTCACTATAAGACATGAGCATTGATATATGGACCATTGAACCTCTTTCATGAACATTAAACACTTCATGATTGACATTCAAATATCATTAAACACATTTCATCAACATCAAACAATGTTACACCTCATGAGAATTAATACATGGATCATTAAACCCATTTCTTGACATTAGTATGTTAAGAAGATATACTTAATACTAAGAAGACCATTAAACCCATTTCCTGACAAATCATTCAACTCAAGGAGTTCAGCCATGGTCACATGGATCGCTTGTATTAAGAAGATATACCCAACTAGCACTGTTAGCAAGGTATGAATGCCATGCAAATCAAATTAGTTTATGAATTTTTTAAGTACCTTCATAAGATTGTTTTGTTATAAGAAATCACAAGAAGATTAGGAATAGGTTTCACGTGTCATTACAAATAATGAGTTAAATCCGGAGATTAACTAAAAGTTAAAAAAAACCCTTATACTTTCATTTCTATAACAACAATGAATTATCCTTTCAACCTTTAAACCCTAACAATAAGCAAACCATGGTGGATGTGAACTCATCAAACAGGAAGAATTGCCGTTAACCTTCGCTATGAAGCAAAAACCTCTGTTGATATACACTATAGAAGTAAAAACCCTATGCCCTCTGCTCTTTGAAACTTGAACTAATTAGAGAAATGAGAAAAATCACTAAATGCAAGCTTTAAAGTGATATTAGGGGTAAAATGGTCTGAAAATATGTCAAAAGGGCAATTTAGGTATTTAAAAATATCATAACAACGATATTCTAACTTTTTTTCGGCGATAACTAACGGAACCCTAACGAAGAGAGTCTTTGTCTAACGGCCAAAGTACAAAATATTCTTCATCGAAAATTAAAGTTCAAGGGGTATCTATCACTGACCCCATAATATAGGAGGTCCGTGTAATTTACCCTTTTAAATATAATTATATAAAAATTGCATATTAAAATTAACAAATATTATAATATTGATTTTAATCGGATCGGATGGATCATGTCCAAATCCTACCGATTATTAATTGGATATAAATTGTAACATCCAAATCCGATTATCATTGAGAGGCCTATCGACCACGCGAATGACACGTAGCAAACTAGCAATTGAACCAAATTAGTGGCAAAGAGTGAAGCAATGCAAAGAGGCATATAACACTTGAAGGGAATATTCGTTGGTTTTTTTTTTTTTTTTTTTTTTTCACTTTTGCGAAGATGACGAACACAACCTATAAATACCAATTTCTCATATTTTCTGAGCTCCAATGACAGCCTCATTTGCCAAATCCCCATTTGCCGCTCTCGCTCTCTCACACTAACTCCAGCGACTGCGAGCAATGGAGATGGCGATGAGCTTCCACAGTCCTCTCAAATCGTCCCTCTCTATCAACCACTCTCTCAGAAACCCTAAGCGAAGCTCCTCTTCTTGTCTCCTTTCTAAACAATTTTTCGGCCAGAGCTTTCCCTCGTCACTAACTGCTAAAACCACTTTAAGTTTCGGTTCCTCTTCGAGTTCTTCCGGTCGTACCTCGATAAAATGTTCAGTTTCTGCTGCCACAGAAACTGCCACTGGTAAAAGTTGACTCTTTCTTTTGAATTGCTTGTTTTTTTTTTCCACTTCAATTTTCATCTTTGCTTTTGATAAACGAGTTCTGCTTATGCCAAAAGCTACTTGATTGCCTTTGATATTCTCGTACGTTTGAATTAAAGGTAGTGGTTGTTTACCCTTTTCTTTATTTGTTTTCTTCTGCCACCCCATTCCTGTTTTGGTGCTAGTTGTTATTATCGTCCATCTCGCTCTTCCAGTTACTTTCTTTCATTCTCTTTTAAAATTTGTTGCTTGCTTGTTTGTTGTTGTTGTTATTTGTATTGAGGATATGTGAACAATCGGAATTCATCAAGTATCCAAGGTCTCTGGTAACTTCTTTGATGTGGAGATATCCTAGAGTTTCCTGTTATCATAATCTTGTTCATTGCAAATAACATGGAGGACATATTACTGATAAATTGAAAAGAAGGTCTAGTTAGAGGGTTGTACACTGATTGGAGTTGGCCACAATTAGTTTAGTCATTATTGATTCACTTATTTCATTTTCTTACATGTCATATGAATTACATTTATATATATTTTTCTTGTCTTCTCTGCGGGGATGGTGTGTGGCATTTTGATTTTTGAAGGATGTGTAAGTTCTTTTGATCTATCCATAATTCAAAGAAGTGAAATGTGTCTCAACTCTCAAGATAGGAAGGGGGTTAAGGGCCCAAGGGCTGCAACCATTGACTTCCTCTTCAACTGTGTTATCCAACCTGATTTCCAAGTTCAGGTTGGAATTTTAAACTCAACTGGTAAAGGGATAGGACCATAGGGGTCAGTTCAGTCATTTTCTACTTCACCATGGGGTACCTAACTAATCTGTGGGGTTTTCCTTGGTTTGAATTTCAGTCTCTCAACATAACTAATATGGAGTATGGTCTTGGGTTTGCATTGGTTTGCTGATTTAAGCAGTGGCTCATCTTATATTATTGCCACATCTGCAGTAGATTCATCACATATCTTCTTCTTCTTGTCAATTAGATTGTTCTGTTTGTTCAATTCAAATATTTTCATGGTATACTACAGAGTTGGCATTTCTACCAAAAATAAATAAGAAAACTTTAATGTTAGCATTCTCCTACGCTATTTCCTTTTTATGGATGAACTTATCTCATGCATAATTATTTTTTAATGTAAGGTTGAAATGAACCGTACTTCTAAAACTTTTCTTAGTTTGTATGATAAGAATGTCTTGCTTATAAACCTTTGTCCTGATGTAGGGAAAAGAAGTTCATTAAAGACAAGAAGAGACATAAGAAATATTGCCATAGTTGCTCATGTAGATCATGGGAAAACAACCTTGGTTGATGCAATGTTGAGACAAGCAAAGGTAGTACCAGAGAAATTTGTATCTCAATTTGACCTTGTTGTATATTGTTTTTCAAGGTTTCCAGATTTCATGATGAATTGGATTGAACTTTGGTTCTGAATGCAAGCAGTTTCAGTTTTGTAAATGTAATAAGTAGGTATATATCATTAAGTCTAATGAATATTTTCTTGTGTTTCTCATAATTATCTGTTATTTTGCTTTCTTTTCTGTTTTCATTTCTTTCTTTTTCTCCTTTTCTTTTGCTATGATTGTTTGTATCAGTTGATGCATAAATTTTTTGGTAATCTGGTGTAAGGGTTTCACATTTAGAAAGATGGCTATATAAGCAGATCTATTAGGTAGGATTTATTGACATCCTCCAAAATCCCAAGAAATATCATCATGTACTATTGTTTCAATTCTGAAATAAAGAGGTACTTTTTTTTCTGTTTTTAGATTTGAGTGATTAAATATCAAGCACCAAAAACTTTATTAACTGCCATTTTTTCTTTTTTTTTTTTTATTTTTTTTCCTGTTGTATGGAATGAAGGGACACTTAGTGTAAAGTCTCTCTAGATGAGATTTCTAGTCCCCATAATTTAATGATTCAGAACATGTACATAAATGCATTTTTTACTATAGTTTATTAGTCAGTTATGAAACATCTTATTTCTGCCTTTCTTATCTTGCTCAGCCTATATATGCAAACTTAGTGCAAAATCCTCCAGATGGGATTACTTATTGCCTTGTCCCAATAGTTTTATGAGTTGGTATAGGTGCATAAATGTGTTTTTGACTCTTAAGACATGGATTGGTTATAATAAACCTTAGCTCTATGCCTCTTCTTAACTTACTTAAATTATAGTTTCAGAACTCTCATACATTTTTCATTCAGGAACATCTAGTTCCACTCTAGATGGTTTAACTGATCAGTCTTTCAGAGACTTGATGCTTTTAGGCATAAAGATGATTTACTTCTAGCTAGGAATCTAGGTGCTACTTATAGAAGTCTGTTGTATCTTAAGATGCTGTTTAGCTTTAGGACATACTGGGGCCTATTGACCAATTGCTACTTAAGTTAGAAGCTAGAAGAAATTCTGATGAGGTTTCTGCAATATTGGTGTCCATATATGTATATGTATATAGATAGATAGATAATAGACAGATAGATGGACTGGGTCCTGATTCTCCCAGAGTTTGAAGGAATCACAAAGGAAGATCTTGGTGCTGAATTTTGGAATGCCTTGCAGATGGCATGATGTGTTTTTTGTTTTGGCCCATGCTATTGCATCATCTTTGTTGTTGTTTATCCCTTGTATTTTTTCCTCTTTTGCTCTTTCTTGTAAGGCTGTACTCTAGTGATATCTCATCACTTCCAGATGTACTGTTTTTTGTATTAATAAATTTTTCTTTTTATTGATTACCCAAACAAAAGGTACATCATAATTTCCATCCATGGTGGTAACAAATATACTACTTCTCTTGTGCAGGTCTTTCGTGAAAACCAATTTGTCCAAGAAAGGATAATGGATTCAAATGATCTAGAGCGTGAAAGGGGAATTACAATTCTTAGTAAAAATACATCAATCACTTATAAGGATACAAAGATTAATATAATTGATACTCCTGGTCACTCTGATTTTGGTGGCGAAGTGGAGCGTGTTCTCAATATGGTGGAGGGTGTTCTTCTAGTGGTACTGTCTGTCAATCCTCTTACTTGGAAGTTGATACACTTAAACCTGTAATTGGTTATATGATTTTGATAGCCAGTTTAGATGGCATTGCTATTCCTGTCATTGTAACAAATCAAATTGACTTTCTATATTCCTACATTGGATATCTGAGACAGTAATTTGATCTTAACACTATATGCATCCAAATCAAATTGATTATAAAAATCATAGTCCAAAGTAATTCGATCTTGCCCAAAATGCATCTTCCTGAAATCCAATAATAAGTGCTTTTCACTCTATGTCAAATCATCAGTTACTTTCCTTTGGGCAGCTTATTAACTCCTTTGTGCGCTTTTTTCCCATGACTACAATTAGTTTTTTCCCTCTGTTTTGGTTATTTTGTTCTGAAGAAGACAAAACAATTTGCTTTCCTAATAGTTGACAATGATCTTGTTGCCTGCACATGTTCTTTTGGTTAGGAAGCTTTCATACTTTGGAATTAACATTTTCTTTTGTTAGTTATTTGGATTTTTTAATTAGAGAAATGTTAAAAACCTGGTTGCCTGATCTCTTTTAATGGTAATGTCAATCCAAATAGCACTATTTAACTGGTGCCATTTTTAGTTGTATTTTGAGAAAAAATTGTGTCAATATTTCATGAAATTTAATAGTAATCTTCTACACAGTGACATGTTTTGCAGGGGTTGATTATGCTGATAAGTTTTGATGAAATTCTATTTTGTAGGTAGACTCTGTAGAGGGTCCAATGCCACAGACAAGATTTGTTCTAAAGAAAGCACTGGAATTTGGTCATGCAGTTGTTGTTGTTGTTAATAAGATTGACAGGCCTTCAGCTCGTCCAGACTTTGTCATTAACTCCACTTTTGAATTGTTTATTGAACTAAATGCAACAGATGAGCAGGTTCTTTTGTCAGATAATTTCATATTCTTATTAATTATTTTTTAACTCAATGTTGACATATCCCAGAGCATTGTAAGTAGTAAGGTGACTTAAATTTGAGTCTAACATCCAGGAATGTTCATTATTTATGCAGTGTGATTTTCAAGTAATATATGCAAGTGGTATCAAGGGAAAGGCTGGTTTATCTCCGGAAAATCTGGCAGATGATCTTGGACCACTGTTTGAAGCTATCATCAGATGCATACCAGGGCCACACATTGACAAAGATGGTGCATTGCAGATGCTTGTTAGTCATTTTTCTTTTTGCTAATAGATGTAGTTATATTTGGATAAGATTTCATCTTTTTCATAGAGAACTAAATTAGACATGTCATCATGAACACATGTGCATTTTCTAGGGAAGTTCTCATTGGCATGGCCATTTTCTGTATATTTGTCCTAAGACTGCAAGTTTATAATGAAAAAGAAGAAGTTGATTGCTCAAAATTTCTTCTGTTGGTACTTAGGGGTGTCAACGGTATTCGAAAATCCGATTTCGAATTCGATATTCGACATAATCGAATCAAATTCGGATAATTCGAATAATCGGTCGAATTCGGATATCCTGTTCTTATTGAATAGTTAATCGGATTCGAATTCGGATATGACCTGATTCGATTCGATAAATATCCGAATTCGACCGATTATTTAATTCTTATATAATATATAAAATATTTTATATAATTTATATATAATAATTAAGTTATATAAATAATTTATATATTTATATACTTTGTATCAATAAAATATTTATTTTATATATTTATTGATTATCTAAAATAATTAATTAATCGAATTTGAATCGAATCGAATATTCAAATATTTAATCGGATTCGAATTTGAATATTAATTTTCAATATCCRTCRGATATCGAATTGAATTCGGATATTGGGATTTTCTAATAGGATTCGAATTCAGAAATTGCCTGATTCGATTCGAATTCAATCCGTTTACACCCCTATTGGTACTGATTGATAGGAAGGATGAAAATGTTAGTAATGGGAGTAAGTCATAAACAGGTGAAAAGTAAAATTTTACTTGTTAAAGTGACACGAATCCAAATTAATAGCATCAGGAAAGACTGCTGAATGCAAAATGAACAAGGTAAATTTGGTTAGCTGAGAGGTTATGATGGTCATCCTGGTGCAACGTTTGGATGCTTCTATATTCTACCTAGCATTTTTTAGTAGCATCTACTTCAACAGAGAAGAAAACAAGCAGTACAATGTCTCTTGCACCTTTCCTAATGATACTATGATGTTCAGGCTAGACTTCTTCCCACCAAGGTTTCCATTGTACATAAATTTCTTGTTGTCTTGCTCCTTACAATGAACAATAGGAAATAAGGAATAGCTTATATGCTTGGATTGCTATTGCTATCTGCATGTACCCATAATTGTTCAATTACATATTTACTATACTTGAATGACATGACACCTATTGGGTTTTGAGGTATTAGATCCGATTTTTAATCTGATTGGATTTTTGGTGGACTAGTTAGAGATTCCACATGTAAATATGCTACGTTCAACTCAGAAGTTTTTAATCTAGACAGAAACTAACTCAACTATTGGGCAATAGTTGATTCTGATGCCTCAGTCAGAAATTCCATTCAAGATGTTATATAATAAATAAAAATATAATAAAATACATAAATTCTTGTAGGCAAACATATATTATAGGATCCGTACTTACTGTGAAAGATCTATTTTATGATTTGGATTAGGACTGTGATTTGATCTACTTACAGCCTAACTGTCAAGTGTGAGAATGTAGGTTTGAGTTTGAAAGCGGCCACTTTGTGCAAAAAATGCCAAAGGTTAGGACCATATCTGGTCTACCCCTCCCATGACCCCAGATAGATGGGACCAACATTGGGTAATGGTCTTTTACAGCCTTACTGTCAACCTGGCTACCAAAGGCACTAAGACTTGTAGTTAATGATGTGAACTGATGGGAGAATGAGAATATGAGGGACTGAATATGACATTACTGCTAGCAGGGTGATGGGAATGGGTTAGTTTTCTCAGCCAAGCTAGGTGGCTCTAGATATACGGCTGCAGCATTCTTGGCACTGATGGAGGCAGAGGGGCTAGTGATGATATCAGTAGCAGTGGATGCTTCTTGTGAAGGTGCTAGAGGGTTTGGAAATGAACAGTTGGAGAGGAAGGGGTGGACATAGTTTCACTTTAGACCAGCATGGCAGGATGAATGGAAGGGAGGGGAGTCCAGAGGTGGGGAACTGATCTTGAGTGGTTCACAACAAGAAATGAATAGGAAGGTGTGGTGGGGCACTCAAGGGAGTACTAACTGAGAGATCTGTTGGGAGCAGGAAGGACCGAAGGATAGTGTTGATGAAATTATGAGAAAGAAGACATTGTGGGCACTTTATTGCTGCTCAGTTGGTAGGATCTCTGATTCACTGGAGTAGAGACTTGGGATAAAATCCCGCTGTCACCAGGGTGGGGGGGGGGTGAAGGGAGGGGGATGGGCAACCCCCTGTTATGTAGCCCCATGAAGCAAAAAATAAGTGGACTTTATTGCTAAGAAGTAAAAGGAGATAAAAGTTTGTTGCTTCTAGAGGGAGAAGTCATATGGGTTGCAGTGGTGGAATATGACAATTGGGGTTTGGGATTTGMAGGTGGGTTCATGTAATKCAAGTTGAGGTTAGTAGTTGCAGTTTATTGCCTTTTCTTTTCTTTCTTTCTGTGTGCAGCATGGTGTGGTGTTGAGTCTTTTGGCCGGCTTCTGGGTAATGAGTTCCCTTGTACACTAAGACTTCTGGGCCTTTTTATTAGAGTACCAAGTAACCAAGCGCTTGTTTTATTTCTTCTTATTTGTGCTGCCTCTCCTTTTATGTGCAACTTGCGTAGTTTTGTTTTTGTTTTCTGATAAAAGTTATGTTATCAAACCAAGAAAAAAATGTGAAATGGGTCCTATTTTTCATTTTACACTGTCAAATAAATTTATGCCAATACATATAGATTGACAAGTACTTGTAATTGAGTTCCCTACTTCAGTATGGTGTCTTTGCTTAGATTTTTATGGTTTCAATGGAGCTAGTTGTGGAAGGCAACCCATCAACCTTGATTGTTGGGTAAGAAGAGTGAAAAGCACATGTATATTACCCAATATCTTTGTGGAAGTTCAAATGTTAGTTATGTCCTAGAACACTTGTTGCCTGCATTCTTATGCCCACAGAAATGGTGTTCATATTTATATCATGTCTAGTGGTTGTTCCCTCTTTTTCATCATATCAATACAAATATAACTTATCTTTTTTTCAAAAAAAAAAAAATCATGTTTAGTGTTTGAGTTTTCAGTTGTGACATTTATTCATCCATGTTCTTCCTATCTTCTTGCACTGTTTTCTCTTCTTGTTTTTTTTTTTTTTCATCCTTAATACCTCTCTTCTTATTTTTTGTATATAATTCCATTATTGTAGCTTGAACTGTAGATTTTACAGTATTATCTTGAGTTTGAGATATTAATATCTTCTGGTCCTTGTGATATTTATGCTTTATTTAATTTTTGTTTTCACATTTTCAGGTTACAAACACTGAATATGATGAGCATAAAGGACGGATAGCTATTGGGCGTTTGCATGCTGGGGTGCTACAAAGAGGAATGGATGTGAGGGTGAGAATTCTTTGACCATGTTATAATATGATATTTGAGTTTCTATATTTGGCAGTACAAGTATCAAATATTGTCAGCCATTTTTTATCAGTAACAATTAAAATATTTAATGTTTTTATTTATCCTTTTCAAGAGCCCCCCCCACCCGGGAGGTTAAGCACAGAGTCATTTGTAGCCACATTTTTTTTTTTGATGAGTAAAGAGAAAAGATTCATTAATAGAGAATTAATGCAATTACAAGCTTCCCATGGAGAGGCACGAGCTGCGTCCTCTCCAAATAGCAGGAAGAAAGACAAAGGAAAACAGATAACAGAAAACAGAAAACAGAAAACAGGAAGCAGATTCAATCTACAATTGAGCCCAATATAAACTTTCCCTGTTTACCCCTTGCTTTGCAAGGCCATCAKCCATARAGTTTGCAGATCTCCCCACCCATTGTATTCTCACTGTCAAGCTCCTTGTCAGGCAGTTGAATTTTTTAATTTCATTCTTAAAGCACCACACTATAGAGTCCGGGTTTTGTAGCCATCCCACTACCACCTTGGAGTCCCCTTCTATTATCAGATGTTCCACACCTATCTGCACAGCTAGCTGTGCTCCTTGGGTAGCAGCTGCTAGTTCCACCCTAATGGAGTTTCCAGCTCCTATTGGCCCCGAGTAGATAAGAACCACATTCCCAGCCTCATTCCTCAGTACCCCTCCCACCCCTGACGGACCTGGTTTACCAAGACTACTTCCATTGAAGTTCAGCTTCAAAAAATTCTCAGGAGGGGGTTCC